AAACAAACAAACAAACAAACAAACATCAGGTATTTCAAGACTGAAATTAATTAGTAAACTATGAGTTCATGTATATATATACTATCTCACATTAAAATACTCATTAATAATTCATAAACCTTGTGGCAAATCATGTCAGCCATAATATGTCACGTGCAGTGACTTTATATCTGATAAAACACATGTGGCATTATATAATTGTTCATCTTAATTAGCATGATTATATTATGGTTCATCCTAATTCACTTATTCACCAATAGTGACGCCATCTTGAATCAGGATGCATTATGGGTTATCCAGGGTAAAAATGAAAAATCCGAATTCAGAAGCCTTCAATGTCGTATTGAGACACAATACGATAATTTTTTTTATAAACAATTTCTTGATGACAATGAGGCAGTGTAAATCAATTTTATGCGCACTTTGGTGAAATTATTTCCCTTTTTAGGCCTAACAAAGATTTAAACTATAGATTTTATCCTGATTTTTTTTATTTTTTCCAGCTTTTGTGTGTTTTCCTAGTTCTTCTAAAAATTGTCTGTTATTTTTAACTATAAAAACGTGTGTTTTCGCCTACATATTCGATTTACAGCAACCTCGTTCCCAGGCTCTTTGCTCTTGGGGAGCAGGATTTACAGCCCTTCAAAAACGCTCCATTACCCTGGATCACCCATAATGCATTGCGTTAATTGAACGCGAAATTCAAGATGGCGTCGCTATTGGTGAATAGGTGAATTAGTATTCTTTTGTAGTCGTATTTTAAGCTATTCAAAACACTCGTTGTCGTGTTTTATCAGATATAAAACGCTAATACTAATATAATGAAAATAATAATACGAGATGTTCACTGACCAAAATGATTTATTTAGACGAGTTTAATTCGGCCACTAGACTGTGGTCTTCGACAGGCTCGGGATAGCAAGCTTATATACTAACATATGTTACTACAGACTCAGTCTAGTGGCCGAAAGCTCGTCTAAATAAACAATTTTGGTCAGTGAACGTCTCGTATTATTATGCCTTTACCTGACCCTGACCGCGCTTCGACCATAATGAAAATAGTCAGTAGCGCGAACTATTTCATCAGTTGCGCGTTTTTGTATTTTTCCCTTTAGAATAATTGGTCCGTTTTCCAATTCAGTGGCGTTTTCAAAAGCCTTCAAATGCCCATCTGGCAGCAGAATGAATCCTGTAAAGAAATGTCGTGTTTGGTAGAAGAGGATTTTAAATGAAGAATAAATTATTTTTATGCTTTCCCCCTCGAATAATTTACTACTTGAGAAAAAAATATATAACAATTGCATTTCCCCAGTTTTGTCAAATGACTTAATTTTTTCGTCCCATCTTACTCAGTAGAGAGGTTCAGATTTGACTTCCACTACCTCTACCATATTGTGGACCATTAACCAATCAGATGCATTGAATATATCCGATTAACCAATCAGATTCGTAATAAGCCAGTGGGAGGTATTAGTAGTCGAAGTCAAGTTCAGTACCTCGCTTTTACAAAGTCCACAAAGCCCGCAATCTCGTTCCCAGAGTATGCCTGTTCACGGGTTATGTAGTGGCATGACACTACATAACCCGCGAACAGGCATACTCTGGGAACGAGATTGCAAAGCCCGAGGAAAACTTATTAGCCTCCAACCTCGTACCCAGGCTCTTATAAGACCCGGGGTACGAGGTTGATTAGCCTCAGGGGGACAAGGGCGTGTTACTGCGTTTGCTTTTCAAATTTTATTTCCCAAATTACTTTTCAAATTTTTCATTTATGAAAAAATTGGAAATTTTACACATAATAAGGAAACAAGATTGCGTAATCCCGCCTGTCATTTCATTCTAGGCTAGCTCTTTATAGCTTGGTGGCTCGCGCAGAAATACTCGAAGCCGTTTATAGAAGTAACTCAATTAAAACACTTCGGATTTAAACTGAAATAAAAGCCTCTCCCGTCTATAGATATTTACTTCTGCAGCCATTCAATGCATTTGGAAAAATAAATGGGTGGGAGGGTGTGTCTAGATCCAATTTTCAACTATAAACGTCTGTGTGTTGACTTTTAAAACATAATTTCCTGCTTTCAATGACTCAGTTTTAGAAATAACTTCACGAAGTAAAATCACTAAAACGAGTTTGAAGTCTATAAATCCCTGTCATTTTAAGTCGTATACTAGACATACTAAGCAAATCACTGACTGACTCGCAATAGAAAAATGACCTCGAGCCGTAACAGGCAGAACTCTTCCAGGACATTTTTAGACAAACTCTCAATCAAAAGTCCTTGTAGTTATTTAAACTCCACCGAAATGTCCAACTAGAACTGACTTATAATGTATGTGGGTTTTCCCATTTTTGTGTCATTTGCACTTCCAGTAACCCAAATGCTATTAGGCAAATCCCCTATAAAGGAGCCCCGAAATCGAACTTGTTTCCATGTACCGCGTACAAAACTTTAGCCTGCGCACAGACTATATGCGCAGGCTAACAAAACTTTGACGTTTCTTCAAAGGCCCTTCGTCCAACTAAAAAATATTGTTTAATTAAGCTAGGCTGTTTATACGAAAAGTCGAAAACCTAACACTCAAACAACAAACAAAATTAACAAACAAACAAACAAACAAACAAACAAACAAACAAACAAACAAACAAACAAACAAACAAACAAACAAACAAACAAACAAACAAACAAACAAACAAACAAACAAACAAACAAACAAACAAACAAACAAATACAAACAAACAAATTCTCTTTACCAGACTTCTATAATTCCCGTGACGTCACCGCGGCCGTAGTTGTATATTGCCGAAAGTTAATAATATACCGACTGAGCGTATGTTTACGCGAGAGCACGTTGTAAACTTTGAAAAGAATTCGTTCAAAAGCAGCGATAATGGCCATGGATTGTCCTTATATTAATTTTATGGCAATCTACATTATCTCTGCTAGCCTTTTGGGCACAAATTCTGGCCGTGGAGTCACTCATTGGAAACTTAACGAGCAAGGCAGTAGCATAGTCGAAGGCAATGAAAGTGACAGGAATTATGTGAAAACTGACCCTGTTTTTGCTTTATTGATTGAACATTATCCACCAAAAATGGGCCCTACGAGGAGGCTTAAGACGGGAAAGAATAAATTGAGCAAAAAGGCAGCTCCAGGGAGTAATTTAAGGTACGTATTCACGACAGAACTTGTATGTTTACAGCGCCGTTTCGGCAACAAGCTTGGTTAATAATTATAAATATTCAACTAGGCTTTTAGGCATTAACAACGCGTGTGCCCAATTTAATACCTAAAAACATATTAACACTTATCTCGTTTTTCATCTGAAGTATTTTCAAAGCAAATGCTATTTACACATAATTTAGCTGATTGTGCATAAACCTTGGTGTGGCGTGTAAAAATTAAAACATTTTAATATATGCTTCTGTGGCACTTTGTGCTAATGTTTTAATATGTACCTGTTACAAATGTCATATGTCAGCAGCAATCTATAGCAATATGCCGGAACGATGTGTACAAATCTGATTAAACACATGGGGAATTAAAAATAATTAATTCTTATCTAAAATAGTCAGAAAAGTGGAGTGTAATGATATGCGTTTGACAGAAGATATCCTCTGTTATTAATTAATATATTTATTGTTTTGATATTCATTGCCTTTGATTATGAAATTTTGCAACTTTAAATAACCTATGTGTCCTCCTTAATAACAGCCCAGACATCCTTTAGTGTGTGTGTGGTCTTGAGCAACTTAATTATATGACCCTGAGGCTTTTTATGTGCCTATCCAAACTTTGAGATTGGACTTGTGTTGATCATAAAAGTCTTTGTTTATTTGAAAGTATACAAATGGAAGTAACTAGATCTTATGCACTCATCCATGTCAGATTCAAGTTGATAGTGCATTATATCTTCTATCTCTCAATGACCGGGGTTCAAGTCTTGCCCGATTTTAATTTCACCTCGATTGTATGTGAGAAAAGAGGTTACAGTTTGACTCTAACCAACTTTTTTAATAATAATAATCAGCTTAAATGTTTCAGTCATCTGCAGATGTCTTAAGCCCATTTTCTACTAGGTGAATTTGTTGCGCAAAGCGAAAAACAAATCTTGACAATGTGATTGGCCAGCAAAAATATTCCTACTTTTTTACTATTCGCAGGAACAAATTTGCCCAGTGGAAAATTGGCTTTACAAGACTTCTGTCCAGAGGTCTTGTAAATTAATGGCCATCTCTTATTGTTCCAGTGTTATTACATGAGGAGACCAGAACCCAAGGGTGTAGTGGAGGAGGAATTAATTGATATCCCATGTTCACATGGGTGTACCGGGCGGGTATTTTGGTATGTCCGGAAAAACTGACCAAAATTTTTTTGTGACGGGAGGGGGGGGGGGAAGTCGCCAAAATAAATTCCGGGAAAAATTTTTTCGGTACTTGTCGGGCAAAATCCAGAAAAGTCGGGCAAATTTCTTTCCGCCCCCCTAAATTTTTCCTTCCGGTACGCCCATGCATGTTCATTTGGGGGACTGAACCCCCTAATTTTGCAGATTGCCGAATCATAACTTAATTGGAAGGTTCTTTGCAACTGCAGTGAAATTCCATTACAAGGAATGAAAATATATTAATGCACATGCTTGTACTGGCAAGAATTTTTCCAAGGGCTACAAGAACAAAACAAATTTTAATTTGTTTAAAATTTTGATTACAATCAGATCCCCTAAAAGTCCAATTTTTAGCATTTGGGCGGTGAACGTAATGTACATCAAAATATTTGATTTGTTCTTGATAGTTGTTGATAAAGTACATTCCAAACTTTCTTCTTTGAATTCAAATTGTGTTATAAACCTTCCATTCCTTTGCTCAAACTATTTTTAATGTGAACAGCCAGCCGCCCCAATTTTCTGCGCGACCAATTTTTCATGGAGAGTTATAACTGAGCTCTTTATGTTTTCAAGATCTATGACATAAAATGTACCAAATCTGTGGCATTCAGATTATAATAAAACGTGGCTAAAATACATGAAATAGCCTCTCAATGACCTTAAAAATAGAAAACTTTTAACTCCAGAGGACCATGCCCCTGGATAGACAGGAGATTAGAACACCACCCCCCC